TTTATCATTAATTTGAAATTGCAGTACTGTAGTCATTTAACGTGTTAATTGATCACTGCATTTAATGCATTAATAAAGAAACATATATTACAATTCACTTTTGTAATATTTTCATAACTGTATTTTAATATAATTGGTTTCCTTTGTAATCCTATATTTTATTTTATGCATTTAAAAACATTATTCTGGGGAGAAATATATTGGCTTCACCAGATTGCAAGATGGGTTCAAGGCACAGAATAAGTAAAAAACTCTGTCACTTAGTATAGTCAGCCTAAAATTCAGCCTTGAGGCTATCTCAGATTTCATTCAGAAGCCTTAGCTTGTTGGAGCCCAAAATGGGGCTCCATGTGTAGGGATTTCTAGCAGGCCTGCTGTGATATTGTGATTTATAATAAGGTATAAGCATTTGGAATTTGGTCTTCCACTTCTTTTCTAGCACAGAGCCCCTAATCCCCCTTTAGAATTTCCTATGTGATGACAGTGGTGAAAGGTGTCTTTTGTTATGCTAATGATGTAACTTTTGGGAAATTCCTAGGTAACCTAAGGATGGGGGCTGGGAGCCAACCATGTGATTGGAGGGTTGGAACTTCCAGTCTTATCCCTGGACCTCCTGGGACGGGAGAGAAGCTGGAGATTGAGTTCAATCACCAATGGCTAATGATTTATTCAGTTATGCCTATGACGAATCCTTCATAAAAACCCAAAAAGACAGGGTTTAGAGAGCTCTCAGGTTGATAATCACGTGGAAATTTGGGGAGAGTGGCACTTTTGGAGAGCATGGAATCTCTGTACACCTTCTCCATACCGTGCCCTATGCATCTCTTCCTTATGGCTGTTCCCAATATATCATTTCATAACAAACCCGTGATCTACTATTGGTAAAATGTTTCTCTTAGTTCTATGGGCTGGGCTAGCAAGTTAATAGAATCCAAGGATATGGTAGTTGGAATCTCAGTTGTTGGTCAGAAGCACTGGTGGCAACCTGTATTTGCAATTGGCATATGAAGTGTGGGTATGGGGGTGAATCTTGTAGGACTGAGCCCTTAATCTATGGGATCTGTTACTACCTCCAGATAGATAATGTCAGAATTGAGTTGAATTGTAGGACACACTCAGTTGAATGTTGGAGAGTTGCCTGGTGGTATGGGAAAAAACCCCACACGCTTTGGAACTGGAGACCAGAATCTAATCTCCATGTAAATCTGAGGCTTCAGACCCTAGGAACTCAGGCAGAGGTGCTTAATCTCAGTTTCTTCATTTGGGCCTCTTTGAACTCAGTCTAAACTGCTGTGTCTGTCAGAATGAGTCTCTGGAGCCGGGTAGGAGTTTATGCTTCCTGAGTTTATCAGTCTGGGAATGGTCATGATGCTCATCTCACAGCACTTAGTTTCCTGTCTCTGATTCTTTGTATACATTATTTCTTCAGCATGAAGGACTCTTTCTTTTAGAAACAACCCCACCCTCATGCAGAAACTCCCTATCTCCAGGCAAAATTCCACTCAAATTTTGTATCACTTGAGGCATCCTCTGAGAGCCTTTTCACACCCCCACTGCTGGTTCAGGGACCCCCTCTGCTGGTCTCTCTGGGCTCCTGTGCTCCTTTCTCCTATGGCATTGCACTGAGCTGGAGAACTAATAAAGTTTAGGCTTCTGTGCCCTACACTTAACACAGGCCAGTTCCAAACCCCAGCTTATTTCATTGAGCATTGTAAATTTCAAGCACATTTAAGATTTGTCACTGCACAGGAACAGTTAAAAACCTGGAATTTTACAGCTCACATGTAAAAGAAACTAGATAGAGATTTCCTCAAATTTGACAATAATCTTAAAATGTACATTACTAATAATAACGTTGCAAAGTTGAAGCTTTTCTAAATACCAATAATTAAAAAATTGATCAACTGAATGGGATTGAATTCATTTTATTTTCTCTAGGAAATGTTATTACTAAATAATTGTCATATTTGTTTGTCATATTTATTACTAAATAATTGTAATATTACAAGAGGGTATAAAAAATAAAAACATTAGTAGAGGGGTGAATCAGGCAATTAATAAGAATATTTTATTTTTCTGTATTTGAGGATGTTTGTGGCATTTGTCAGCTTAAAAATTATAATTCATAAAATTTGAGATTTCTTTTGTAAATCTGAAGCAATATTCACTGTCATACCTAAATTTGTACTATTTTTCTTTTTTAAAGAATATTTTATTTTTTATTTTTGGAGAGAGAGGAAGGGAGGGAGAGAGGGACAGAAATATCGATGTGTGAGGGATACATTAATCAGTTGCTTCTCACATGTCTCCAACTGAGGACACAGCCTGCAACTCCCAGGCATGTGCCCTGACTGGGAATGGAACCAGTATCCCTTTGGTTCGCAGGCCAGTACTCAATCCACTGAGCCACGCCACCCAGGGCTGTACTATTTTTCTTAAACAGGACTTGCAAAATTGTATCTCCTTCAGGCCCTTCAAAACTTAGGTTCACCCTGAGCACTGATCATATTCTATGGTCCTTGGACAAGTTTTGCATGCCAGAGTTGGAGCTTCTTGAGCATCTGACCAAACCCCAGGACCCAACAGCATTCAGCACAGGGCCAGGCACAGAATCATCCAGTATGGTTTATTAACAATGATCTAGTTCAAAGTTTGCAAACTCTGCTGTGAGAGGAAGTCATCTATAATACTTTTCTAAGGACAGCTTTCTTCTTAACTTCAATGTCTCTGGTTATATTTAGGATTGAAGGTGGGAGGTCAGGGTGGGTAGGGAGGGGGAAGTGGTGGTGGGAAAATGGAGACAACTGTATTCAAACATTAATAATAATAATAATAATAATAATAATAATAATAATAATAATAATAATAATAATAACAATAAAAAGAACAGCTTTATTGAGCCCTGGCTAGTGTGGCTCAGTGGATTGGGATCCGGCCTGTGAACCAAAGGGTCACCTGTTCCCTTCCCAGTCTGGGGCACTTGCCTGGGCTGCTGGCCAGTTCCCCAGTAGGGGCCACGTGAGAGGCAACCACACATTGATGTTTTTTTCCCTCTTTCTCCCTTCCTTCCCCTCTGTAGAAATAAATAAATAAATAAATCTTTAAAAGAACAGCTTTATTGAAATATTATTTATAAGTTTCACTCATTTAAAGTGTACAGTTCAATGGTCTTTAGTATATCCTCAGAGTTGTGCAACTGTATTAATTTGCAAAGGCTGCTATAACAAAATACTACAGATTGGTAGCTTTAAGTGTAAAAATTTATTTTCTCTAAAGTCTGGAAACTAGAGGTTTGAGATCAAGGTGTTGGCAGGTTTGGTTTCTTCTGAGGCCTTTCTCCTTGGTTTCCAGATGTCCACCTTCTCTCCATGTTCACATGGTCATCTCTCCGTGCAGGCATGTGTCTTGGTGTCTCTCTCTGTGTCCTAATCTCCTCTTCTTACAAGGACACCAGTCATATTGGATCAGGATGTACCCATATGGACTCAGTTTACCTTAGTTACCTCTTTAAAGGTTCTATCTGCATATAGTTCTACATTCTGAGGTATTGGGGGTTCAAGTTTCAACATATGATGAATTGAAGGGAGCAAAACTCAGCCTCTATAACTACCAACACCACATGTAATTTTGGAACATTTTCATCACCCCCAGAAGAAATCTTGTACTCATTAGGAGTTGGATACCATTTCTTTCTTCTCCAAGCTCTGAGTAACCATTAATCTATTTTCTGTGTATAGATTTGCCTATTCTGTACATTTCGTAGAAATGGTATTATACAGTGTGGTCTTTTTAAAAAAACATTATTTATTTATTTATTTATTTATTTTTAGAGAGAGGAGAAAGAAGGGAGAAAGAGAGGGAGAGAAACATTGATGTGAGTTAGAAATATCGATCCAACATTGATCAGTTGCCTTTCACATGGCCCCAACTGGGGGAGCAGTTGAAACCCAGACATTTGCTGGGCAATACCCAAACCACTGAGCCACACCTGTGAGGGCACCATGCGGTCTTTTTTGACTAGGCAATAGTGATGTCACCTTTTTCATTCCTGATTTCAATAATTTGAGTTTTCCCCTCCCTTTTAGTTAGCCAATCTACCTAAAAGTTTGCCAATTATGTTGATCTTTTCAAATAATCAACTTTTTGTTTCAGTGAGTTTATTGTTTTTCTATTTTCTATCCCATTTATTTCCTCTCCAAGCTTTATTTCCTTCTTTCTGCTTGTTTTGTGATTACTTTGTTCTTCTTTTTCTAGCTTCCTAAGGTAGAAGGTTATTAATATGATCTGTCACATGGGCATTTATAGCTATAAAATTCTCTTTAAACATTGCTTTAGCTGCATCTCATACATTTTGGTGTGCTGTGTTTATGTTTTCATTCAATTCGAGATGTTTTCTAATTTCCCTTGTAATTTTTTTCTTTGACCCATTTGTTGTTTAGAAGTGCATTAATTTCCACATATTTGTGAATTTCACAAATTTCTTTCAGTTGTTGATTTCTAATTTCACCCCACTGTGGTCAGAAAACATCCTTTGATTGATTTCAATCCTTTTAACTCTATTGAGGCCTGCTTTGTGATTTAGCATATGGTCTAAACAGGAGAATGTTCCTTGTGCATTTCAGAAAAGTGTGCATTTTGCTATTTTGGGTGTAGTGTTCTACAAATTTAACAATGATTTTTTAAATACAGATTTTTAAGGCTATATTCTCTGAGGTTGATTCTTCTGCCCCAGGGACTGGTATCTGTATTGTTAATAAGTTCCTCACATCTTTTCTGTGCAGTGTGGCCCAGAACCCAGGGGCTCGGAAACCCATGGACCCACGTGTCGCACACTTCTGGCTTCCTTTGATTTATATACTGCATGCCAGTAACTTTGTGGGTGTCATCCATTGCTCCGATCAATGTTTCTACTGCTCTAGTCTTGCTGCCAGGTCAGCGGAAAGAAGACTGGGTTCTCAGGCTCGGTTTTCGATTGTGCCTGGGCCTTGCTGAGGAGGGATTGGTCTGCCTGGGCATCACGTGGCGCTCGGCCAGATGATGGCGGGCGCCGGGGAAGATTTGAGAGCCCTCTTCGGAGCTGGCGTCCGCGCTGCCCTGGAGGCCTGGCCTGCCTTGCAGGTGAGAGGGGCCGCGGCCGGGGCCGGGGCCTGTGCCAGGAATGGTTAGGGCCTGGAGCAGAATAGGAATTGGCCGAGATTGGCGCTTGAGGCTCGGCGGCACAAGTGGCGAACTCCTACGTCACCTCAAGTGAGCTCTTTCTCGGGCTGACGTGGTCCACTTGGGCCTATGTTCACAGATCGCTGTGGAGAATGGCTTCGGGGGAGTGCACAGCCAGGAGAAGGCCGAGTGGCTGGGAGGTGCGGTGGAAGAGTACTTCTTCCGCAATGGTGAGTGTGAGGTGCTGGGACTTGTGTGGGGGTTTGGTGGGATTAGGAAATGAGGCGAGGGGACTGGAGCAGAAGGCAGGTTGTGGAGAGTCCCCATTTACTCTTGAGCAATTATCGGTTGGTACCTGAGGGCTACGTGGAATGAGTACAGGCTTTGGAATCAGAATCCTGAGGTCAGATAGATGCCTTTTGGGCAGGTGTCATCCTGGACAAGTCATCTTATCTCCCTGAGACTCACTTCCTTAATTCCTAAAATGGATGTAAGATCCATCCCCAAGTCACATAATTTCACTTAAAGATTTTCTGCAGCAACTTTAATAAAGTAAAAAGAAACAGGTGAAATTAATGGTGTTCAACTCAATATATCCAAAATATTTCAATATGTAATTAGTATAAAATACTATTAATGATATGTTGTACATTTTAGCATTAAATTTTCAAAACCTGCTTGGTGCCCTGGCTGGTGTACCTCAGTGGATTGAGCACTGGCCTGTGAACCAAAGGTCATGGGTTCAAGTCCTAGTCAGGGCACATGCCTGGGTTGTGGGCCAGGTTTCCCCAGTAGGGGGCGCACGAGAGGCAACCACACATTGATGTTTCTCTCCCTCTTCGTGCCTGTCTCTCTAAAAATAAATAAAATATTGTTTAAAAAAAAAAAAACCCTGCTGGGTATTTTACAGTTTTATCACATCTCAGTTTGACCTAGCCACATTTTAAGTGCTCAGTAAACACATTTGAGTATTTGAACAACAGAGATCTACACCTCTGTTGTGTCTTGAGGATCATATGAGAAATAAGGAGCCCTGCAGAGGGCCTTTTGCATAGTATTAGTTTTACAAAATTCTTCATTCGGTTTTTTAGTCTTGGAGATGACATTAGGCAGAGACCTTTTTCTCAAGAAGATTACAGTCTAGTGAGGGATCCATATAAGTAAACAGGCATTTACACACAGGGTAATAGGTGTTCAATAAAGAGGAACTCAGGGTGCTTGGGTAACATAAGACTTGGGGGGAGGTTTCTCTTGGAGATTGTTAGAGGAGATGGGGATTGGGCTGAGTTTTTCTTTTAAGATTTTATTTATTTATTTTTAGAGAGGAGAAGGGAGGAAGAGAGGGACAGAAACATCAATGTGTGGTTGCCTATTGCACACCCCCTACTGGGGACTTGGCCTGCAATGCAGGCATGTGCCCTGAGAATCAAACTGGTGACCCTTTGGTTTGCAGGCCAGCACTCAATTCACCGAGCCACACCAGCCAGGGCTGAGCTGAGTTATAAGGGATAAGAAAGAGTTAACTATTTGTGGGAGGCAGGGAGAGCAACACTCAAATAAGTTCTGTGGTATGAGGAGATTATGTTTTATATTTGGAAAGTGGTAGGGTGCTCAGCACTGGAGTTAAGTGTGTGCGCGCATGTGCACGTGTTTTTGGGTGTGTGGAGGAGTGGAGTGGTAGAGAGTAAAGCAGAGGGGTGGGGAGGCCCCTGGAAAAGGGTAGGATGTGGAAGGCCTTACATGCCTTTGATTTTGTCCTTTAGGCCGGCGTTGACCAAACGGCATAGTATGGGAGAGTAGTTCTGTTAAGTGTTCATTGAGGAAAAAGCTTCTCCAGTCAAATTATGTAAGAGAAGCACTTTTCTTTAGCTCCTACTTAAGAGTCACAAGAATCATTAACATAGTTAAGCCTTGGGTAAGGATAAGAATTAAAAAGAAGCATGTTTACCTTTGTTTTCCATTAGCTTTCTAAATAGATTCCTTTAAAACCCAGCAGGACAGTTACTTCCCAAAAGCATAATATGAACACTGCGGTAGGTGAGAAAAATTAGTCAGCAGGTTCTAAGGTGAGTAATGGGATGGGATTTGCTGACTAGAAAGTTCAGATAGTAATCAGTGTGGAGCAAGGACTAGGCTATGATATTTAATCATTGCAAGTGCTTCTGTCCATTTCTTCTTACCTATGCCATTAGTCTGTGGCCTCCTGTATCTGTGGAGCCACAATTATGAAGGGTCTCTCATGTTCAAACCTGGAAATGCAGAGCACTTCAACGAATAAAAGGCTCACTGTTTGGATCCTTACTCACCAACCAGATATGAACCCAGTACATAGGCATTGAAGAGTAGCAGGCAGGAGTGATGAAGTTGGCTGGTCTTTGACCAAAGGGCCCTCCCTATTCTTTCCTACTCAGCTGACTTGGAGCTAGATGAGGTGGAGGACTTCCTTGGGGAACTCATGACGAATGAGTTTGATACAGTTGTGGAGGATGGGAGTCTGCCCCAGGTGAGCATGTCATGGACACAACTGTGATCTCTTTGCCTGCAGTCTTTCTTTTCCCCAAGTATTTTTTTTTTAGGCTAAGACTCTTGGCTCTAACCATTCTTTTCTCAAGTCTTGCATAAGAGCCTTTTATGACCCCCTATTGCCTAATGGGAAATCTACTCTTCCAAGGCCTTTCAAACCCTGCCTCTTCTCTTTTCAGACATTATTCTCAGCCAGGTCTATTCCTCATCCGCATTCCAAAGGCAGGTCAGGCCAGGTACTTTTTCACCCCTGCTCTGGTTAACATCACTCCCCCTACTGGGATTGCCTTCCCTGCTAGGAGGCCCTCCTTCAGTGTTTCGGGCCTTTCTCTGAGCCCTTCATAGGTGGTTCCTTCATTAGTGAACTTCTTGGGGAAGAAAAGAGCCCCATTCTCTTCTGGAAAAATCCAAACCCTTCCCCACTCTTGCTGCAAACATGGGCTGTTGTAGGTTCTATAGAAAATCCAGCTGGCCGAATGTTTTCTTGATAGGTGAGCCAGCAGCTGAATACCATGTTCCACCACTTCCAGAGGGGTGATGGGACCGCTCTGAAGGAGATGGCTTCCAGCATCACCCAAAGAAAGTGCAGGGTTAGAGCCACCACACTTACTACAGCCAGAGAGACAGATGAGGATGATGCGGACAGCGTGGAGGACATGGAGGTAAAAGGGTTGCCCCTTGGGTGGGGAGATGTAAATATTTTCAATTTTCTGGGAGATCAGCTAGTATCATAGGGAAGTGATGGGGGTGGGATGGTAGTGGTTGTATTATCTAGAGAGGGCAAGGAACTTTCCTAAGCCAATCCTTGCAAAGCTGGGAGAGCCTTGAGTCTCTCATTGGCCACAGCTGGGAGGCATTGTATTTAGCTGTTTTTTATTTCTCCTCCAGGTCACAGCTACGAATGATGGGGCAGCTGCCGATGGGGTCTGTCCCCAGCCTGAATCCTCTGGTCCAGATTCCCAGACTATTAAGGAAGAGGATATAGTAGAGGATGGTTGGACCATTGTCCGGAGAAAGAAATGAGTGGGTCTGGAAATGGTTTGGGCCCTTATTTGCTAGTTGTTTTGAGATTTTTTTCAAGGCTTGTGGGCCTTTGGACTGGTTATCCCATCTCCACCCTCTCCCTCTTCCCCTGTCAAGCTTCCTCCAGGGGAAGAAGAGCCCTAGCGTCCTTGGTCTTGGGGTGATAGGACCTGGTTAACCACACCTCCTAGGGCTATAAGTTACCATCTGAATGATGAATGAGGCCTGGTTTCCCAGCTCAGTGCCTTGAGTGCAGTCAGTGGGAAGATAGAAGGATGAGTGGGTGTGGCTGTGGCTGAAGAAGCTGAATGCTGTTTGAGAGCAGGCAGGCAGATTTATAAAGGGAGAGGACCAGCAGAACCAATACTTTTGCTGGGTCAGGAATAGTGAGATGAACATGCAGCAGGGAGAGAGATGCATTGATGATGTGAATGAAAGTTATGACACCTCTCGTACTTCCCTGCTACACACACACACACAGCAGGAGCAGCAGCAGCTCTGTACCCCTGTTAAGAAACTGGAACCTCCCAGGGACACTCCCTTCTTGCAGCCCAGCCTCCAGCCCTGGGTTCCTGCGGGAATTCTAAGACCTTGGCAAGGTGGTGAGCTTGGGTGACCTGGGCTTTGTTTTTTGTTTCCTCCAACCTCTTTCTAAACTCTTCATCCAATTCCATCGAAGTCCAGGGATGAGGCCTAAAACCTGAATAAATAACACCTTAATGTTTAATCTGTTGCTTGACCTGTTCTAAGTATCCCTGGAGTCATCTTTCTGGAACCTGAGGTTCAGAACTCGGCAAGGGAGCAGTTTTGGGGCCCATCCTAGCAGTCTGGGACTTTGGACAAACAGACAGACAAGTGGAGCACAGCAGTGCTCTGAAAGTTTCCGTAAGCCTGAAATAAACTGTATTTTTCTTTAAAAAACAAAACCAAGAGTATCCATTGTTCTCCCCCGCTGTTCCCCTGTCCTGCCCGGTGGCCCTGCCATGGGTCTGGACGATAAAATAATGGGTAGCCTTGGGGCTGGGTAGAAGCTGTAAGCCATGGAGAGGCAGGAAGGATCCGGTCACTGCCCCACCTAACATACATGTGGAGACACTGGCTGAAGGGGCAGGGGTGGGCCAGGGCCATGAACTCAGTGGAAGAACTGGCACTTGACTCCAGGTGTCCTGCCTCTGGTACTTTGGGGCGAATTGGGTGGAGGCAGGATCTGCAGGGGATTGAGGGGATGGGGGAAAATGGCCTAATTCAGGCAGGTCTAGCAACAATTCCCACCCCCTCCCCAGGGACAGGGATTACAAAAATTGAACATCACTAGGAATATCTTTTTAAAAGCCCACGTTTTGTGAAAAGATGAATTTTAAAAAACCCAAGACCCAGCATTTGGGATTGCAAGTGCCCATGGTGGGAGTTCAAGTATTAACTGAGCTGGGAGGGAGAGGGCTGGGGCCCCCCATCAGGCATGGGCAGCTAGAGTGTAGGGCAGGGGGCCCCAGTTCTTCCCAAAACTTCTAGGTCTTATCTCGGGTCTGGGGGCCTTCAGAGGGTTCAGCAGTGGCTCCTGAAGCTGCCACCTGTGCCTCCTCCATCTCCCTGTCCTCAGACAGTGTGGGCCCTGGGCAGAACGTGTCCCCACGGCCTGCCCGGCCAAGCACAGCCATCCAGCGCCGCTGCAGCTCCTCTGTCTCAGGACTGAAGTACCAGCTCAGGTGGCTCTGGGTGATCTTGAAGACATGCCGTCTGTCAGGCCGCTCCCCTGCCTCAGGAGGCCCCACCTCAAAGCCAATGAGCGGCAGGCTGCGCTGGGCTTTCACATCCTGGGGAAAGAACAGAGCCAGGGTCACCTTGGGGCTTGGCTTCTCACCAGTTTTTCACCTACTAAACCCCTTCTTTTCCTTCACCTGCTCAAGAACCTTCTAAGGCTCCGTTGATAGCAGTAGGAAAATGTCAGAACTGGGGTTAGGATGCAGGTTGGGCGCAAATACCCGTTTCCTCCGATACCCCAAAATAGCTGGGCTAGTCTCGTTAGTGCATACCAAAGTTTTTAGGCCTTTGCCTAGGCCATCACCCCCATTTACATGTTTACCCCATCCAAATGGGATCTAGCAGTACCCCATCTGCACTCTGGCTTCCTCCAGGAAGCTAGACCCCTCCCACAACTCACCCCACTTTCCCCTACATACATTGGCCCACAATGCTTGTTTCTAGCCAGTCTTTATCTCACGAGGGTGGGGGTTCTGATTTCCACTTAGGTTCCCACAATGTGCCAAGGCCAAGAAGTCAAGGACTGAAGGGAAAGGGGGGCAGCCTGGTTTTGCCAGGTGGCTGAAAGGACCCAAAGGAGTAGGATGCACACCTGAGGAGCTCCGTAGATGTACAGCACCAAGGGTTCATTTTCAGGGACCACAAACCATGCCTTGTGCCAGCCTTTTCCACCCTTCTCCATGTAGTGCAGGAAGCTGCAGATGACGCTGTTCTCTGCAGCCACTGAAGCCTGTTTCTGTGACCAGAGACATAGGGGACATCAATGATGATAGAAGGCCTAGCCTGGCTCCTCCGGGCTTCAATACCCCGTCAGTGTAGGTATTGTGGTGCCCATACTTCAGATGAGGGTGCGAATTCAGGTGGCAGTACTGACTTGCCCAATGTCTCCCACTGAGTTAGTCAGGCCATGGCTGCTACCTCTTCTAGTTAGGTGGGAGGGGTGTGCGGCTCTCAGCAGGGGCACCTGAATGCCAGTCAGGCAGTCTTCTATCAGTCCATTTATTCCTCAAGTGATTTATGCATTTATACCTCACTTTTTTGTCATCTTTTGTCACATATCCATTCCCTATACTCAGTGAGAAGCAATCTAGCATTGTGGTTAAGGGGATGGGGGCTGGGTAAGGCAACTGGCTCAGAATCCCAGCTCTAGGTGAAAATGTATTGACTTGGAAAGAGAGCACGTAGAGCTATTGTAAGGATTAAATGAAATCATAGATGCAAAATGCTTAGAATAGTGCCTGGCACAGAGTAAAAGTTCTTTAAATGTTAAAAAAATAAATACCTCGATTTGGTTAAGAAACAAAACCAAAATGTGCACGCGCCTAGAAAGATAGGAAGCATAAGTGTTAGTGGTTATCTAGTGGGTAGGAAAAATAGGATGCTTTTATTATTTTTGTTTATATTGTCTAATTTTCTTCAGTGCACATATCCTACTTTATAATAAGAAAAGGTAGTTTGTCAATTAAAAAAACATGCAAGCTCTGCCACTCACTGGCTGTGTAACATGGGTTAGTAACCTCCTTGGGCCTCAGTTTCCTCATTTGTAAAATAGGGATAGTAATAGTATGGATAGATTAGTTACTGTAAAGATTAAATGTCTAAAGCACTTAAATAAAAAGTACTGGCTTTCATTCATTCACTCTTGCATTCATTTTACTCACTCCAAGCCTGGATGTTCCATGGATGTACATGGCACCATATGGTTTCAGAGATAACCAGGCCTCAGTCACATTGGGTGGGTGAGTGGGGTTCATGTCATTGATGTGTGAGGGTTAGTGGTCATAGGCCTGGCTCTTACCTCCAAGATGGACCTCCGGCGCTGAGGTGTATGCTGGCTGCAGGCTGGGCTACTCCCAGGCACCCCGTGCAAGGCCACGTAGCAGTCAGTGCACACACGGTTGGAGCGGTTGTTGTCATAGATAAGGCGGGCCCGGAACTCGGAGCATTTCCCACAAACCACCTGGAGTGGCAAGTGGGCAAGAGATGCCTGATTCCGGAAGGCCTTCCCCTTCAGTGTACCAATTCCCACAGCTGACTCATGGCCTCTTCCCCACTTAGACCATGCCCTCTCAGAAGTGGGCCTCCAGGCTGCCAGCCCATCCCCTCCCTAGCTCTGCCCCTGCCTCCCAACACTCACATGCCCGCAGGCCTTGCAGTGGTGCCTGCGCTTGGTGATGGAATTGAAGGGCTCCTGGCAGCGCATGCACATGGTGACTTCCTTTTCTCGGATGGGTGTAGGTGCCCGCTTCCCAAGATCCACATTCTGGAGAGAGGCCCAGGTCCCAGGTCAGACACAGCTACTCCCCCATCCAGTTCGGCCAATCCTTGTGCCTGACCTTGCCCTAAGACTTGGTTTATCATTAGGAAGCAACAGATACATTCAGAAGACCTGTCTTTGAGTCCTGCCTCTATCCCTACCTCATTGTGCTACTGAAGACAAGTCACTTCTACTTACTGGGCCTCCATTTCTCCAGTGATTTTTCTGTGGCCCTACCAACAGAAAACTGTGTTTTTGAAGTCATGTACTGCCTCTAGGAAGGGGAGAGGAGCATCTCAAGGTAAGGTGGGGATTTGAAGACCCAGTGTAGAGGGAAGGGATGAGGACTCTTACTGGAGAGTGAGGGGGTGTGTCTTCATCTTCCCTGTTTGTTGAGTTCAACAGTTTGAAGGTCTCCAGCGTCTGTTCATGCTTCAGAAGGGTGGAGTTGATGGCCTGGCAAGAAGATATAAGAAATGAGAGGTCAGATCACCTCACAATCCACCCATTTCCAACCTCACCTCATTATCTTATGACCTAGCCCAGAGTCAGAAAAGTTGGGTTCTAGGCCCAGCTCTGCTCTTTGCTAGTTGTACAACCTTCAGCAAGTCCCTTCCTATATCTAGGCCTCAGTTCTTTTTTTTTTTTTAAGAGAGAGGGGAAGTGAGGGAGAAAGAGGGAGGTAAACATCAATGTGAAAGAGAGATATCAATTGGTTGCCTTTCATATGTGCCCTCACCAGGGATTGACCCACAACCTAGGCATGTGCCCTGATGGGGAATCAAACCCACAATCTTTCCTTCTGCAGCACGATGCCCAATCGCCTGAGCCACACCAGTGAGGGCTCAGTTCTTATATTTGTGAAATGGGGGAGGGGGATCAGTGGCTGAAAAACTGCAGAAGGCCTTCATAGCCACTGTCTGGGCTTAACTCACTGGGGTTACACTCTCAGAGGAGCCAGCTCTCTAAAGAAAGAATTTGTGAGTTTCTGCTTAACCTCTGGACCTCAGTGAGCTTATCTGTAAAATGGGGATGGTAAAGTATGTTGTCCAGGCCCATACCAGTCAGATGTGAGTTTTAAGAGACAGTTCCCCAACCCCTGGGAGACCTGTTAATACTCCTCCAGCCCCCTACCACAAAGCCTTCTTGGATGTTACCTGGACCCAGTCTTTCTTTTCCTCCTCAGTCCTTGGGGGCAAAAAAAAAACAACAACAAAGATGTTGGGTTAGGCAGGCCAAGCAAAAGCAATTGGAGTGGTAAACAGCAAATGTTTTGGAGTCAGACAGTCCTGTGTTTGACCCTCTCCTCCTTCACTTATAACATATGTGACCTTTTAGGCACATCATTTAACCTGTTTGTGCTTTTTTATTCAATAGTTACTAATATCTTCCAGATTTGGTGCTAGGAACATGGGCCTCAGAGAGGTCCCTATCTTCAAGGAACTCATGGTCTGGGGTTAGGGGAGAGACAGGGACAATACAAGGGTATCAGTGCTGTGACAGAGTGAAAATCGGGCTGAGGAGTCCAGAAGAGGAGATCTGTCCCAGCCTGGAGTTTGGGTGGGGGCTGGTACACAAGGGTTTCCTCAAGGAGGTGCTAAGCTTCAGGTAGAGGGGTAAAGGTGAGGTGTATATAAGAGTATGGAACATACAACAAACCTTAAATAGTTCCCTCTTGCTGGAATGTCAATTTTGAGAAAGGAGGGTAG